TTGGGTGTCGTCAGCGTAGCAGTGGTATGAAAAACCATGCGGGCTAATGACTGATCCGAGCGAGTTTGTGTACAAGGAGAAGAGGAGGGGACCAAGAACAGAGCCCTGAGGGACCCCTGTAGTTGATTGACAAGGGTCGGACTCGGACCCTCTCCAAGTGACCCTGTAGGTGCGGTCTTTGAGGTATGACGTGAGGAGGGAAAGTGCAGAGCCTGAAACTCCAAGTTCTTGGAGAGTGCGAAGGAGGATCTGATGGTTCACCGTGTCGAATGCAGCAGACAGATCCAGAAGGATGATGACAGAGGAGAGGGAGGCTGCTTTAGCCGTGTGCAGTTCCTCAGAGACAGCAAGGAGAGCAGTTTCTGTGGAGTGACCTGCCTTGAAACCAGACTGGTGCGGATCCAGAAGGTTGTTCTGATGGAGATAACAGGAGAGTTGTTTAAAGACAGCGCGTTCAAGTGTTTTAGACAGGAACGGGAGGAGAGAGACAGGCCTGTAGTTTATAACATCAAACGGGTTGAGAGTGGGTTTCTTTAGGAGAGGGTTTACTCTTGCCTCCTTGAGACTGTTTGGAAAGTGACCAGAAGTTAGAGAAGTGTTGATGAAATGGATGAGAAACGGCAGAATAGAGGTCTGAAGGAGGTTTGAGGGGATAGGGTCCAGAGGACAGGTGGTAGGGCGGGCAGAGGTAATGAGGGTAAGAACCTCACTTGGAGAGAGAGGGGAGAAGGAGGTCAGTGTGTGGGTGGTCAGTGTGTGGGTGAAGGGAGGGTCTGGTGACCCAGCGGTGAGTAAAGGTGAGTCAGAAAAAGAAGAGCGAATATCATCAACCTTTTTTTCAAAGTGGTTAACAAAGTCGCTTGGAAATGCGCCATAATACTCCCAGCCTTGTTTGGGAAACCTGGGCTATTGAGCAAGACCCAATACCAGTCAGACTTCCTGAGACAGAGCTGTTACTTCACGCTTCAATTAAGATCCTCAGTGCTTAGGAATCAGTTTGCTGGATATATTGTGTTGTTCATGTTCGTGTTGTCTGGATTCAAGTCTGACTAGCTGTTGCTTATATTGGCCAGCAGATAAGGGCGGATTATGGGCCCCCATAAACAGACAAAGGCCCCACCATGTCCCCCACATAGAAACAAAAATACTTATTATTAAAATAATAATTTACATTTTTTCATATTTTTCTTCCCATTTTGTGTCTCTTTGTGGTAATTTTGCCCCTTTTTATAGTCGCTGTAAGTGTGTGAATTGTGGTCACTTTGAGTCCGCACACGTGCCACAGGGTAAAAGTACAGAACTTTTTTTTCTTAGATTTGGCAGGAGCCCAAATCCACTCACCATTCACCTTCAGGACAAAGCCAGTGTCCTTGCTGCTTCCTGCTGTTTCTGTGACAGTGACCACGTAGTACCCCGCGTCCTGCAGCCGCAGGTCCGACAGCCCCATGGAGCCGTTGTTGAAGGCCTGCACTCTGCCGCTGTAGTCCTCCGTGATGTTGGTGTACCCCCCCGGCTGCCAGGTCCCTATGGTGCGGCTCACCGCTCCTGACATAAAGGTCCATTGTATGGTGGGGGTCCCGTCGCAGGAAACATCCAGTGAGAAAAACACATCCTCCTGCACTGAGCGGGTCAGGCTCCTCTGGGGAGAGTGAATGGAGATGGCTCCAGCTTCCAAAGAAAAATAGGGTGAGGGAAAGTAAAGATATACATATTAAATGTAAAATGCGTTGTGTGGATGAAAAGTAAATAGACATATTAATTGGAATAAACACAAAGGTTCATAGGAGTGTGACAGACAGATACAATTTAAAAAAATCAAAGTACAAAGGTATTGGTATCAAAATATACTTAAAAATCCCAAACAATTACTTATTTTGCACAATGGATTATTTCAGAACAGTTTATATGACATTGAATTATATAAGATTATAATTATTGATACATTCCTATTATTATTATTATTATTATTATTGAAAGTCACTGATATTTTCAAATAAACAAATGTAGTGAAATAAAAAGTTGAATATTTCTTTTTGAGATGAAGTAAAGTAGCATGGAAAGAAAATACTCAAGAAAGTACTTCAAAATGGTGCTTGAGTAAAGAACTTAAGGAAGTGCCTAAATACATTCCACCACTGGGTAGGACAGTAATTACTGACAAACATTTCAGTGTACGACACAATGCAATATGCTCATACAAATGAAATTTTTAGCCTCATAGCTTCTCGTGACACATCTAGTCAGGGTTCCAGGCCAACCCTGTGACTCACTCATTTACACACACAAACGTGCTCTTCTTTCTGAAGGAAACTTGTCAAACAAGCTGAGAAATACTGATTTGAATGTAGCCAGCAGTGTTGGTGATCAAATATTTCCTCACAGTTTCAGCGGGGATCTGGTTCTGCTGATGTGTTTGCTCAATGAGGCACAGGTAAAGAATTCCACCTGAGAAAACCAATCCTGACTAACAAAATGGTGTGGCTGCCCTTTTTTCATTATCACACTTAAAATAATCATTAACCAATACACTTCAATTATGACGATACTTAAAGGTTTTCCATGTTTGTATGGATTTAAAAAATGTGATTTAGAAAAGATGTGTATTTGTTTGTTTTTGTTTTTTAGCAGAGATACTTCAGTCTGTGCAGCTTGACTTGTATTTGTATTGACATCATACTGCTCTCCTCTCATTTGTCATACTGTCTTTGGGCTCCAGGGTTTCCTCTCATGCTCTGGGAACTTGGATGTGGACCAGGGCAGTCTGATGCTTAAAGGAAACGTCCACAGAGACACATGACTGTGCTATTTCTATCTACTCAGCTACTACTATGCAAACTAAGACAAAGAGATTGAGAAAATGAACAGCCTCCTGCAGGCTCTTATTTCAGTTCCTTTGTGAGGGCTGGACCTTATCTTATGTTTTAACCCTGAGCAAATATAGGATTGCCATATAGGCAGGATCTCAAACCAGAGGGGTAGAGTAACTGAATATATCCGCTCAAGTATCGTATTTAATTTTAAAGTAAATGTACTTTTGAGTATTTTTATTTACATGCCCCTTTCTACTTCCACTCCACTACATTTCAAAAGGAAATGTTTTACTTGTTTCTTTCCCTACATTAATACAAAGTTTTTATTTACTTTATAAATTAAGATTTTTACAAAAAACAAATAGTGTTTAATAAGTGTTTGACTATACAAGCAACTTTTCTGATAATCGCTTACAAGTTATATTTCTTTTAACAATGTTGTATCATTCATAATGTTGAGGTTCAGACTGTTGGTTGGACTAACATTGGGTAGATGTCACTTCTGGATCATGTTAACTGTGAAGGTATTTCACTACTTTTACTGTTTTTACAAAACAATCATTAGGTGAATAATGGAGCAAATAATATTTGGATTAATCCCAAATTAAAAGAATCAGTAGTTAATAGTTCCAAATGAACTCCATCATCACCTTTAAGTACATTTTCATAATATACTAAAATACTTTTACTCGGTTTGATTTTGCAATGCAGGACTCTTACTTGTTGTGGAGTGTTTCCAGTGTGTTGTTGGTACTTTTACTGAAGTAAAGGACATGAGTACTTCTCCCACAACTTAAAACATGTGTTGGAAGGCTTACCTAGGTGACACATATATAATGTGATGCTGAGAAACACAGCAACATCTTGTACATCCAAGAGCCTGAAATGCCACATTAGAATCCCAGACCCATCGGTCGAACCGCAGGCAAAGAATCTCCTCCGGGTTATTTCACATTCTGAAGTATTCTCCTCTCTGTGTTTCTCCTTCCAAGACAGCCTCTCCTCGATCCCAGGGTGTCTTATTCCAAAGCTCTTTGTACAGGTGAATCTTTGAATGACTTCTGCCTTGATTTTGAGAGAAGTGAATTGTTTTTGGTCCCAGAAGTGCTGGAGTTTCCCTCCTGGCTCAGGACTGAGCTGGGTTTCTCTTCATACCTGCGCAAGTTAGTGCCAGCAGGCCCACACCTATCAGACAGGTTCAGCCAGAGATTACTGAGCAAACACGCTCTGTGAACTCACACACACACACACACACACACACACACACACACACACATCACACACACAGTCAAAAACACAATATAGCCTTCTCAATTTACTAGGCTATATCAGCACCAGCACCCCGCCCAACAAACACTCACCTGTACATGCAGACACACTTTCACAAAATGAAACCAGGATATGGGTTGAATCACAAGGAATTCATGTTGTTAGCGACACTCCTGGTAAAACATGTTAAACAGGAAGTGTATGTACGTATGCACCAAGAGACACAAACAAACACACTGCAGGGAAGTGCCATCATCAGTGTTGGAGGCATGAACAAGCTGCTTGATTCTGGGCCTGTGTGTGTTGACATTTCCATTGTATTTAAGGCGAGACACAGGCATGAGCACCCATCATTTACTTAATTAACAAATCTTCTTTCAGACTGGTAAAAAAATAAACATTCAAAATACACAAGTAGCTTTTTATTATACTAAACTTTCTCTGTAGATTTCTCCTTCATCTGCCAACCATAATGCCTTGTTTAAATATGTAACAATATTTTCAGAATTTTTTTGAAACAAAATATAATGTTCCTAATGTAATTAATCTACATAAGTGCTGTGGATCTGTTAAATATTTGACCAAATTCTATTTTCTTAAAAGGATTTCTTTGTTGTGATCCAGAAGTCCCCACTTCTGTATAACTTATATACTGTACAACAAACTTTCCAGTTTCATTCCTGTCTTTATTTTTGAAGGTTTGTAGGGTTTTTTCGTTCAGTATCATGGAGTGATACAAAGGGAAACCTTTGACTCTGATATTTCATACAAATGAAACAAGAAATGAAAACCTGCTCTGTCCATCCAATGTTACACTCCAGGATGTTTATGCAAATTAGCACATAAAATAATCTGTGTATTCAAACATAAAAGATCACAAAAGCTGTTATACAAAAATAATTGTGTTGATGTAAGTAATCAATTGGTGAGGATTAATTTTGAAATCGATTAACTCACTTGTTGATACCCTCTCTAAATGATTCAGATCTTATTTACAGACATTTAGAAATCAGAGAAATTAGTTGTAAATACTTATCTAAAAAAAATTATAATAATGTTTTGTAATCATTTCCACTGTCAAAAGTATAATTGTGTTTTCAATTTAGCTGAACAAAGTAATACAACTAAATTATTTAGCTCTATAACTACATTTATGAAGATCCAAGGGTTGATAGTTATAAAATAAAACAGTGTAAGAATACAAGCCTTCTCTCTGATGGAGGAATGATGTTTGTTGACTTGGATTTCAATTGAGGAACAATACCACAGTTTGAAATGTTTTACTAAATACAACCTGTATTAAACGTTTGATTTTGAGTTGTATTTAGTAGTATTAAATGTATTATGATGTTTTACCTAAAAAGTAGCACTAATCTTTTCTACTCTGTTACAAGCAAAAGTCCTGCATTCAACATATTACTAATACTAAGCATACACAAGTATGTTCATATCGGCCTGCTGAAGGTGAAATGTATGTATACAGTATTTTGACTGAATTATAATTTGTGATGAATTACACTTAAATCACTTAATGTTAACTACAGTGTAACTTTGGTTAATTAATCAACCTAGCGCAAAAAACTACGCTAGGTTGCGTTCAAGTTTGCGTCCATGTGCACACGGTCGAGCGTTCCTCCTGCTGTTTGTCTCAGTATAACATCGCAGTCAGAAACATTTTTCAGTAAGTTGACTTTGACTTATCAATTCAACATGACTCGCTTTCATTATTTATATAATAATTATTGAGAAGCTAAATTGTTGTAGGCTATTATCTCAAGCTAACTCCTGGCTAGCATATGTGGTTGCCTGATAACTTCAGTCAGGACTATGTAAACCACTCAGGGAAGTTAATAGCACAAGCAATAGTCGCGTTCACACCGCAGTACTTTTCCCACTTTAGTTCCGCGATAGTTCCGAAATGTCACGTTCACGGGAGACGAGAAACTGCGACACCGTTGGCAGAAGGAAGAATGGAGAGAAATATGTGGAAATAATACCATAAATAAAATGTTACCTCTCATTTATCACATAAGAATTCATTTTCAAACATTGATTAAAGCCACCTTAAAATGATTAAACAAACGCCTGTTTGCGACTCCTCAGTGCACACAAAAACATAACTTGGAGAAATAAATAAATTCAGATATGTTATTTAAAACCACCTCGAATATGTTGTGTTAATGTTATGAAATGTTTTCTTATCACTGCCAATTTGCATTTCTATAGGTTGTAGATACGAGCATGGTTTTATATACTATCACGTTTAATCGTGTTTTATGCCGTTTGCCAAGACTTGATAAGTCGCTCGTAAAACACAGGAGGTATGGAAACTAAGAACACCATATGTGGTAAATTGTACAGCTAATACAACACAACACATTAGTTGTATTTCCTTTAACTGGTGGATTATGGATATAGAGTTGCTGATCGAAAGCTGGAACACAAACCACCAAATACAAAAAAATAATTCAGATCCAGTCGTCATGACTCCACTCCGGAGGGATTCCCCGATAATTTCTTACAGTTTCTCATCAAGGGGGTGTCTC